GGGTGACTTTCAGCCAATCATCAAGAGACAGGGAGTTCCATCCCGCCTTCTGCAGGAAAGGCAGCTGGGAGACTTTGGACCAATCACCAGGATACGGGGAGTTCTAGTACCACCTTAGGCATCAAAGGCAGCCAGGTGACTTTGGGCCAATCTCCAGTAGACAGGGAGTTCCAGTACCACCTTAATCAGAAAAGGCAGCCGGGTGACGTTGGGCCAATCACCAGGAGACGGGGAGTTCTAGTCCGACCTTAGGCATGAAAGGCAGGTAAGTGATTTTAGGCCAATCATAAGGAGAAAGGGAGTTTTAATCCCACCTTAGGCATGAAATGAAGCCAGGTGACTTTGAGCCAATCACCAGGAGACGGGGAGTTCTAGTCCCGTGTTAGGGATGGAAGGCAGTCGGGTGTCTTTGAGCCAATCACCAGGAGATGGGGAGTTTTAATTCTGCCTTCAGCATGAAATGCAGCCGGGTGACTTTGAGCCAATCACCAGGAGACGGGGAGTTCTAGTCCTGACTTAGCAAAGCCAGAACTGAGGTTCGCGTCCCAAAGGTATGTTGAACAGTAAAGCAAAGCCAGAACAGAGGTTCGTACAACCAAGTTATAGTTTAATGAAGGTCAAGTGAAATATAGTAAACCAAAGCCAGAACAGAGGTTCACATGCCAAAGGTATAGTTTACTGAAGGTCAAGTGAAATAAAATAAAGCAAAGCCAGAACTGAGGTTCGCATGCCAAAGGTATAGTTTAATGAAGGTCAAGTGAAATACAGTAAAGCAAAGCCAGAACTGAGCTTCATTCACCAAAGGTTTAGTTTACTGAAGGTCAAGTGAAATACAGTAAAGCAAAGCCAGAACAGAGGTTTGCCCTCCAAAGTTATAGTTTACTGAAGGTCAAGTGAAATACAACAAAGCAAAAGCAAAACTGAGATAAGCTTGCCAAAGGTATAGTTTAACAGTAAAGCAAAGCCAGAACACAGTTTTGTGCACCAAAGGTATAGTTTACTGAAGGTCAAGTGAAATACAATACAGTAAAGCCAGAACTGAGGTTCACATGCCAAAGGTATAGTTTAACAGAAAAGCAAAGCCATAACAGAGGTTCGTGCGCCAAAGGTATAGTTTACTGAAGGTCAATTGAAATATAGTAAAGCAAAGCCGGAACAGATGTTCGCTTGCCAAAGGTTTAGTTTACTGAAGGTTAAGTGAAATACAGTAAAGCAAAGCCAGAACTGAGATTTGCTCACCAAAGGTATAGTCTAACCATAAAGAAAAGCCAGAACTGAGGTTAGTGTGCCAAAGGTATAGTTTACTGAAAGTCAAGCGAAATACAATAAAGTAAAGCCGGAACTGAGGTTCGCGCTCCAAAGGTATAGTTCACTGAATGTCAAGTGAAATGCAGTGAAGCAAAGCCAGAACTGAGATTCGCGTGTCAAAGGTATAGTTTACTTATGGTCAAGTGAAATATAGGAAAGCAAAGCCAGAACTGAGGTTCGCACGCCAAAGGTATAGTTTAACAGTAAACAAAAGCCGGGCGTATCGGCAGTACAGCATGCGATCTGGAAGCTCCAAGATCCCTGCTGATATCTCCGTTGCAGGATGGTCCCACCTGACCTAAACCATCCTGTAGAGATGGTATCTGAGGAGGGCACATTCTGTCGATCCCAGAGATATTGCAAAGTCCCTGGTTGATCCAGGAAAAGCCCATTTGCCAGCGGCGGAGAGGTAGCCATTCAAGCTGCTGAAGCTGGGACAGCTCTGGAACGGAAGAGATTGAAAGAAAGTGTGACAGTTTGGTGAGATGATCTTTTACTTATTTCTTTTTTTTAAATAAAAGTTTTATTTAAGTTTTCACAAAACATACAAATACAAATAAAATATCTTTTTTTGAGAACAGCATGGCCCCGGCTTATCACTTCTCCATACAGACATAAACTCAATACATATTTATTTTATACATTCTAATCCATAACTATTTTTGCATTTTTTTCAATAGCTTTTTCCTTTCTTTACTTCCTATAGCCTTATTTTAAATTACCTCATTCCTTTCTTAATTCAATTACATATCTTTTTCTAATTTTTAAAATCTTTCTAATCAATGTTTTTATACTTTCGTCTGTCCTGTTTACAATTTCATATTAACTTTTCTCACAAAACAAAATTTCCCCTGTAATTACTAGACTGGAGTGTAACACCTTTGTATCTTTTTTCAAATCTCATTTAAAAATTTAAGTTACACCTTTACAGTTATAACATTCATTTTCTAACCTCTATTTTATAACACATACCTATTTTCAATCGAATTCTGCTTGGTACATTCCCTTAAAAATACACACTAAATTCTTAAAAGAAAAAAGTATATATGTATATATATCTGTGTATATATGTATAACAATAGTAAATGGAATAATTATTCTATTCAAGTACAGCTCTGCCATTAATATTAATAACAATCTTTTACATTTCTATTTCTTTTAACAAACATTACCTAGTAATATCAGTTGTTTTTCACTTTAATCATCTATATTTCATGTTTTACTTATTACTGTCTTTAAATAAAAAACCAAACAATAGTTATTAACAGTAGTCAATAAAGTTATTATTCTTATTCAAGTTCATCTTGTCAACTGATAAAAATCTTCCATGTTTCTTTTCATTTTTTTAAAACATTCTTTTTAAATCATTGAGAGCCTTATTCTCTTTACAAAAAAATATTCCACTACACATCAATAGAATTTTTTTTATCACTTTAATCATCTAACATATTTTCTAACCCTTTTCTATTTCTAATATAACAATGCTATCCCATGCACCCTTGCAGAATCCTCTCCTTAAATTAAATTTTAACCATTGTCTCTGTGTCTTTTAAATAGGTTTATACCTTTAATTCTTGTACGCTTTTGCTGTACCTCTATATCTTGTTTCTGTCCTTTGTAGCTTCTTTTCCTTTCCCTCTTCCCTCTCTTCTTCTCCCTCCTCTTTTTATTCCCTTTTCTATCTGATTCTCCCTTCTGTGATCCTCCCTTCTGCTTCTTCCTGATATTATGATTACTGTTGGGTATATGGATACACCAACTGGTTTGGGTGAATAAATATATAAACCTAGGTTTAAGTGTTTGTAGCTTTAAGCACCTGACTGCAATGTAATTAGATAATTAAGGGTGCGGTTGCAAGCAGCAGTAATAAGGCAGTGAGAGAGACGTAACATTTCCTGGTTACTGGTTACTGTTTGCTGGTTCCTGCTCCCTGGTGTTACTGGTCGCTGGTCTGCTGGTCTCTCTGCTGTCTGCTGCCTGCTGTTTTACTCCTGTATGAGACGTCTGCTTGTTGGCTACTGTGCAAGATACTGTGTCTACTGAACAAAAGGACTGTTAACTTGGTGAGCTGTGCATACT